AAGACAGAGCTCACAGCCTGCCGAGCTTCCACGCACAGCACGGCTCGGACCTTTTGTCAGTTGACAATGCTGCAAAAACGAATGCATGCAAACATGTGCATTTTAATGTCAGCAGCTAGTCTGTGTGGTTCTGCATAGACAGCTTTTTTTGTGGACTGACCAACATAAAAAGGGGAAGATATGTTTCAGAAACTTGTTCACTCTCACTGTGCATATATGAAGTTATCCTCCAATCGTATGAATGCTAGTGTAACCACAGTCTTGTTCCTTTCTTTCAGTTTGAAGTGTTTTAGAAGCCTTTTGATTCTTGGCCGAGTGCTTGACAATGACCTTTGCATTTCAAGGATGTTTTAGTGAGTTGCTTAAAAAGATGGAGCGAGAGGGAAAAAATCTGCTTGAGTACAGAGAATTTGAGCTCCTTGAAAAGCTTCGCTTGTAGTCTGCAATTCACCAGAAATCAATCCAACAAGCTGACTGCTTCAAGTGGAGAGGGAGCCCGACTCTCTTCTTCATTGAGTGAAGTGAGTTTCTGTTTTTCCACTATGATGACGCTGCCAGCACTCTTGGTTTCATTCAGCTCAGCCTAATGCGACAGTAGGGACAGCTCTGTGATGCAACATGCAGTTTTATCCCTCAGCAGATTAAGGATGTGCATACCGCAGTGACATTAGCCAACACCCATCACCTTAGATGGGCACTTAGTGTGTGCCACAGCTCTTTCTTAGCCCAATTAAAAGCAATAGGCTGATTACATGAACGCGAGGCCAGTGATTTTCTCTCTGACTATGCTTTTCTGTGCTTATGATGGAAACACATTAACTCCATTAGCCAATTATTTGACTGTTCAAAGTCTGTTTCCACATCCTGACGAAGCGCCTTTGCTTTGTCTCGCTATGTGATTTGCAGACGCCGAATGTCTGGGGGATCGCTAATTGCTGAGAAAGTCAGCTATGATGACAAACAAGAGAGCAGAACCTCTGAAGGAAAGCTGACACTTGTGGCAATACAGAAAGAAAACAGAAAGGAAGTGAGTAGAAAGGAAGTCAAAGAAAAAGAAAGAGAGCAAGAAGCTTTCTGCTTCTCCCCACTATCTCAGAGGTGTAGTGAGACAATCTGGTTTCACAGCTCAGATGAACTCCTAATTAAACAAACTCAGACATTCTTCAGTTTCCCACACGTTCTAGAGAAGGTGTTGCTTCTGTTTCCTCTCCCACTGGGCGGCAAACTAACACTTACTAGTATCTTGTCAATGATGTTGAAGCTTCCATCTGTCTCAGTGCTTACACTAGAGTGTCAAACACATTATAGCCTTTCCTGAAGCTTTATGGAGTTAATTAAGCGACCAGCTTAATGCACCACACGTTTTCTAAGAGCGTCTTCACACCTAAATTCTCCATGTTCTCCAATAGTCTAGAGCACAGCACCTTCTTCCTGTATTTACTTTTGCTGCGTCGCCCGCGGTCACATCTGGCCAATAAACAGATTGACCATTCTCACGTGGTTTGCAGTGATGCATTTTGGTTCACTTGGAGTTCACTTGGATTTTTCTCTGTGTGAAAAGACATCAATCACGGGGAAAATTTTACAAACTTATCAACTGCTTTGGAAGAATGTAAACAAATTAGAGAGAAATGTGAGAAATCCATAGGAATGATGAAGAAATCACTAGAGATATGTTTTGATGTCAATTGAGATAATAGATGAAATTCAAATTCAAATACAGAGCTAAATTGGTTATGTTCTATCCAATATCTAAATTAATACCTTTGTGTGCAGTTGTGGGTTTTTTTTTTACTTTGCCAAATATAAAGCAATCGAATCCTTGAAACACAAGAAGATATGGACAGAGGTCAGGACAAAGTGATAGATTGACAGCCTTTTACAAACAGGGGTCATTCAGCAGGAACACAAAGGTGGAGGGAAACGAGAGATTGTTGTATAGTTTTCATTTTGTATTTCCTTATGCTTATGAGTTTTTCCTCCTTCTGATGCTCAGGATTGGTTCTTTATTGTTTTGTTATTTGTGTCTTTAATTGTAGTTTAGGCATAGTTGACTTTAGGTTTATTAGTTCCCTTTAGTGTTCCCATTTTGTTCCTTCAGTCTCATCTTTGTGTTGGTCTTTTTGTTTTTATCAGTTCAGTTGTGGCTCTTCCTGTTTTATTTTGCTAAGTGTTGCTCTCTGTGTCTGTGTTCCTTGCAGTTTCCACTTCCTGTATTACCTTTTATATATTTTATCTCAGTCTCCCCTTTTCCTTTGTCGAGTACTCCTACTTAGCTGATGTTCCTAGTGATTACTAAGTTTTGGAACTCCTACTTTGCAATTCATTTGATAGATTCTGGACTTTGTTTATGCCCTGGACTATCACCATTAAAGCTTGCTTTGGTGTCATTTCAGGTCTCCTACGTCCTCAAACAGACTCAAATATAACACAAACTTTTGCCTGTGCTCAGACGGCATTACATAGGAATCCGGGTTCTAAAAGAGCGTTCCTTCTCAACAAAATTTGTCAAGTTGTTTCTTCTGGCTAGGTCGTCAGTCAAATATTTTGTGGCTCATTTCTAAATGATTAATGCTCGCGTTTGAATATTTCATACCCAGATCTGCAGTTTGATCCTCTTGTCATTCTTGTACACAGTCTTCACTTTGAAGTCGATGCCCACGGTGCTGACGAAAGCTGAGGTGAAGGCATCGTCTGCATAGCGGAACAGGAAAGACGTTTTGCCCACGCTGCTGTTACCAATGATCAGCAGCTTAAACATATAGTCAAAATTTTCCCCTCCCTCTCCTTTTCCTTTCGCATCTTGAGTGGCAGCCATCTGCAAAAAAAAAAAAAAAAAAAGAGATTGGGGAGGGGAGGTTAATGCAAAGGGTTGGAAACATTTTTAGAAAAGTGCTTTTTAAGATGGTTCATGTCCATTGACCACAAAGTAAAAGAGAGTGCTGCAGACAGATGCAGAGTAAAAAGTGCAAGCTTGTTCTACAAGGCCAGATCAGAGGTGACAGAAGGCTGTGTAAGGCAAACCAGCATGAGCAGCACCACAAGCTGTTGTATCGATGACTGTTAGATAACCAGGACTTTTAAAAGCCTGATTTTTTCTTAAAATACTTTCTTTAACATATGAATACGATTAATGTTATGGCAGAGAGAGCAAGGGCAATATTTCAGATTCAGATCTTTTAATGTTTAATTTTACACAACTCCTATTCATATTGTATTAAGCTATTTAAACCTTAAGACTCACTGATTTTTTTCCTCTGGGAAGTTTTCTTCTAGAAATTGACTTCTGCTTGATAAAAACGTCAAATCTCATCCCATATTACCACACACTGGTGTTATACAAAGGACAGAGCACACATGGATCTTTCACCTTAGCAGAGCATCTACCCAAACCGTTTCAGTGCAAGCTGTCAGCAGCCAGCGACCTCCGAGGACGAGAGTACTACGAACAGGACGACACCAGCACAGTCATATCCGCCTCCAAGGTGAATGTTCCGACAAAGCCTCTGTGCCAAACCTGTGCAGTTAATTAATGATGCCGGACCTCCATCACACACAAGATCAGGACTTCGGTTCGCTTCCGCGTATGAAACAACACCACCGAGGAGTGTTTTTGCAAGGACACAGTTTTGAAAATATCGCTGCAACGATGTCATTTACACGCACCGCATAAAGCAAGAAGCTCTGCTATAAAATTACACCCCGCGGATGAGCGAGAAGCCGCATGCCAGCTAGTGTTTCGGCGACCAATTCCGGGCAGGTCATTTTTATCTATCAATGAAATTCTTCCACGCAATTACGACTACAAGCTACAGAAAAAAAGAGAAGAAGAAGAAAAGAAGAAGAAGCGTTGAGGACATTTATGTGAACAAACCTGTTTTTGGAGGCCTCGGTTCTATCTGTATCTGGCCCTGTTTTTTGTTTTATTTTTTATTTTAGTAGAATGCGTTTTCTTTTAAATCTATATTAATATATGTATATATCTGAATCTAACGCGGGCGCTGGTTTTCTTCCCCCCTCTGCCTCTCGCTTTCTCTCTGTGGAGCTCCGACCAATTTCAGCACCTGGGAGCTGTCCCCCTCCGATCTGGCACGCGCCCGCCTCTCACCCCTCCCCTCCACCCCGCGAGCTGACGAAAAAGGCTGGCCCGCGTGAGCCGAGCACGAGCACACGAGGAGGGTGGAAAAGCGGGTTTCGTGCGTGTCTGTGACGTCACCGTCACCCCGTAGACGGGGGTTGTAGTTTTTGCACCGGAGGAGAGCGGAGGAAAACTGCAGCATCAAAAGAAGAGATTTGACTACATTACTCAGCATGCAGCTCAGTCCAACTGTCAACAACTGAAATATTTAGAGAAAGAGAAAACCTTTGTAGTTCACCCTTTGACGGGCGTCAGAGTAACAGATAACAGTAGGCTATGTCGTGTACAGACCCCTGCCATGCAAAATCAAGAGTGCAGGGATAAAAACCTTTTATGGGTATCTGCTATAGTTTGCCTATATATTAAAAATGGCGAATCTTACCTTCCCATACAAGTCCATTCTATTATCAGTTTTTTTTTCTCCAAATATTTGTTTTACAGCTCTCTCTTGCATCCAATAAACTCCCAGCTCAGGAGCATAATTTCGTCTTTTTTTTTTCCAGGAAGCAAATATAATAGCCTCTCCTTTTGCGTCACTGTCGGTCGGTTTTTCTGCCGTCCCCCCGCCCATGAAGCAAAAAAGCCCCACTTCAGAGAACAAGCGGCTGTGCAAATAAGAGCCTACCCCTGAATGCTGATGAATATTGTTATTGTGAACCTTTCGGCTCAATGAGTCTGGGATGAGGCCGCGGCGGAAATGAACAACAACAACAACAACAACAAAAAAATCTTTGCAATTATAATCGCGCCTATAATTAGATGGAGCAGAGAGATTCACACCTGAAATGTATGATCGTAATTAAACACCTATTTGAAGCATTTTAAACACATTTATTTTTATATAACAGCCTTAATTAGAGGCTTTTTTACGCGTTCACACCTGAATCCTAAGTGGCTTATCTTATACTATTGCGCCATGCGATAAGCAGCACTGACCCAGGAGGCATGAAATTACCGTGGAGTACAACTCGGATTCAGTCAGAGCTCATTTGTCAGGCAGTAAGCAGACGTTTGATAGGGTGTGCGTGAAGTGCGTGAAGCGAGAGGGCGGGACATGCTGACTGAACGCTGTTTGACTGGACGATCTGTTCGTGCGTGCGTGCTGCTGAGTGCGCAGGAGACGAGGGGGAGGGTCAGGTAAGGTAGACAGACTTAACTGTCAACAATAGTTGAGTTTTTCAGGTATTGTTAGAACTTTGCACATTTCTCCAGTCCACACACACACACACACACACACACACACACACACACCGAACTGTTTGTCTGTCCTGCTGTGAGTGGGTTAACTGTGCATGCGCTTGCATCGACTTCATCCAGAATCTAAAACTCTTATAATATGTCTGCGTGTCTGAAAATAGCTCTTTCGGGATAGTTTGTACTGGTAAAACTCCTTGTTGTCGAGAATAAACAGGATTGTTCCTTCGAGTAGTTTCGGTGCATGACCTAAATGTTGTCAATATTTTTTTTTCTAGAAGGTTTGTGGGCGAGTGAAAGGTCACTGTAGCCCCACCTGCTGTCGGAAACGCTGCTCTGGTGGTGTATGCTATGTGGTGTGGAAATCAGCTTGCTTTATAGTCTTAATAGTGATAAGAGGAATTTGAAATTATTTGTTATGTTGCTTTCCTCGTGAAATACAAGAGGTCGATAGTAAGATTTAACATATATATATATATATATTATATATATATATATATATAGAGATGATGATGATATATATACACCAAATTCTTCTTAGATTGTGTGAAATATATAGTTTAAAACTTTTTTGCTTTTGCTTTTTGCTGTAAAATGCTGAATTCCGTGAATATTTTAAGGCAAACTCACACCATGATCATTTACAAACTTACATGGTAACCAGTTTCTTTAAAAAGGTGCCGATGTATATATGGAGTATTTCAGAATCCAGCAGGTAAGCTGTGTCAGAATGATGGCCACTACTGGTCTTAAGTTTTATTGTCCAATTAGAAACTGCAGTACAGAAAGGAAGTCATTTAAATTAGAATTAATTTATGAAATGGAAAATGTCGAGCCAGATAATCACAGTGAATTTATTGAAATCTGCAATTTTGTTGCCTCTAACTGCTCTGATAACCACAGTGCTGACCCAACCGGTCGCAGCAGATGGCCGCCCCTCCCTGAGCCTGGTTCTGCCGGAGGTTTCTTCCTGTTAAAAGGGAGTTTTTCCTTCCCACTGTTGCCAAAGTGCTTGCTCATAGGGGGTCATATGATTGTTGGGTTTTTCTCTGTATCTATGAAGCGCCTTGAGGCGACTTATGTTGTGATTTGGCGCTATATAAATAAAATTGAATTGAATTGAATTGAAAAGCCTCGAGCCTCTCCTCTTTTCTTTATATTTTGCTAGGAAAATGGAAAATAGACACTGCAATTTGTTGAAACGAGTGCAAACATGCATGAAAATGCAGTATATAAAGCAAAAACAGGAGTTTGTACAATTCTAATGAGCTTGAAAGTCCATGTTTGGCATGTCTTCTTTTATTTTTCAACATATACTGAACTCTTGTAGACCAGCTTTCTGGTGTTTTGATTACATAGTCTTGAAGTCTTAATAGTTTTCCAGGCTTCTTGAAACGCTCAAAGCTCTTCTTTCAATGTTCGCTGCATTTTGTTCCGTTCTCTGTCAAGATGATCCCACACTGATTAAGTAATGTTGAGGTCCGGGCTCTGAGGAAACCAATTCATGACTGATAGTGATCCACTGTGTGTCTTTTTCTATTCATGCTTGCTTTTACTTTATTAGCAGTGTGTTTGGGATCATTGTGATGCTGAAAAATAAAGCTGTCACCAATCAGATTCTTTCCAAAATGTGTTGCACGGTGGATCAAAATCTAACAGGACTTTTCTGCATTCATAATTGAATAGATTATGACACAATTCCCAGCATCACAGGCTGTAAATGCAGCTCCAAACTATGGCAGAGTTTCCACCGTGTTATTTTTTTTTAGATGGCTGTAGACACTCACTGTTCTCCTGATCTCCTCTTGTGTAATTGGTCATACCTCAGCCTTTTCTCGCTCTTTTCTTTCCTTAAGAATTTCTTCTAGACAGCCACCCTTCCACTGAGACAATTTCTGAAGGCCCAAACCACTATCACAAAAATACTTCTGAAACCCTGTATCTTTATCTATGTTTAAAATAATCAGTATTACTCAACATGAATAAATCAGTTTCCTTCTATTACAACAGCGAGTAAGTTACTCAGAATATCTCACATATAAGTAGCATTTTGTTTCATACAGGCTGCACTAATATTTCCACTTATTTGCTGTATTTTAACCCCTCCTGCCACAGTTTGCCATGGAAGACTCCATTGAAGTAATCCTGCAAAACTATAGCGGGGTCTTCCCTACCAACAGACCTCATCCCATCTTCTCAGCCTGCACAGGTGCTCTGCTTACAGGCCTGTACGGATTATGGAGCCTCTTCACCCTACCGGGCTTCCGCAAAATCCCATGGAGGCTCAAGGTACCTGAGATCGCCCTGAGATTTAGGGTTTTTATCTACCTGCTCTGACTCACATATCAAATGTTGCATGTGTGAAATCAGATCATGTAACATAACTTGCACATTAACATTGATTTGCTTGCTTTGGAGCATAAAGCTCCATGCAACAAATGTGGGAAAGAAGACAGCGGTAAGTCTAATCATGATGACCTTCTATGGAGAACTGCACCATGATCTTTTGTTAATGTGAATATGCAATAATTTAAATTGCTTTTACCAGTTTACCTCGTATAGAGGAGTGTGTGTACGCATGCGTGTGGTTTGGATTAATGACATGACTCCAGCTATAGCTCAAATAAAACATGGAGAAAAATGGTTTTGTACAATGGGCAGATTTAAAGTGTTTACCACAACTGGGAACCAGAGAGTCCTGCTGAGATTGTAATTTGGAAGATTATTGTGAAGCAGTTCCACTGACAGTGAGTGGGAGAGCTGACTCAAGGCTATAGTCACAGCAGGCTTGACTGTTGTGAAGAGAAGTACATTTAATTTGGAGCTTTAACAACAGATGGAAGCAATTTGTATTTTATTTGGGATATTTTCATGTCAATTACTTTGTAATGCATGCTGTCAGTTGTGCAATAGGGCAGTGTTGAAAAGGAGAGTCTGGAGACATCATGCCTGCCATGTGTACTGACTCACTGCATGTTTGCACTGTTGTCCAGGTGCCCTATTTGCCCTCCAGTAAAGATCAGACTGCGAACGTGATGAAGCTGCTTGAGGGTAGATCAGGTCGCTTGGCAGATCTGGGATCAGGAGATGGAAGACTGGTGAATGAGTGTACCTGTCTTAGAGAAAAAGGTATCTGTGAATATGCTGTGAGTTGAACTGTTTTGGAAACTCCTCCTGTTTGCTTGCCAGGTATTTGCAGCCTCTGCTGCTGGTTTCCAGTCCACAGGCTTTGAAATAAACTCCATTTTAGTGGCATATGCCAGGAGCAAGGCCTGCTGGACAGGAGTCCCCTCCAGACAGGCAGTCTTTGTTAAAAAAGATTTCTGGAAGGTAAGACTGTGATAGAAATATAGTCTTTTATACTTGGTGATAGCTGTAGTTTGACCATGTTTGTCTCTTGCTTTTAGACCGATTTGTCTTCATACAATAATGTGACAGCGTTCCTTGCTCCGGGAGTGGTGAGTGGGTTTTTTTTCCCGTGAAGAATGATTGTTTTCCTCTGCTTTCGGTCATCTGATGCTGTGCTAATTTGGCTCTTCTCGCTGGTTTACAGATGGAGGTGCTCGGAGAGAAGCTGTTGAAAGAGCTTTCAGATGACGCGCTTGTTATCGCTTGTCGCTTTCCTTTCCCTAACTGGCCACAGCAGTCATCCGCTGGCTTCGGACTTGATCAGACCTTTGCTTACGACATCAGCACTGTGCGCTCGTACCTTAGAAGCGAAGCAAAACCAGCAGTGCAATAAAATTACAGCACTTTCTAGAATTGTAACTCAAAACAGCACTGTACCCTCCTGGGACTTTGTTCTTGGACAGTAAGTGCAATATAATATGATAAGAATCCCAGACAAAGAGAGCATAAATTGGTAGTCTGGCAGTTATAAACACTGACCAGGAGAGATCGTTCAAAGAAGTCTTTGAACATGGAAGGACTCTGACTCGGCAGCAAAATGTCAGGATGATTTCACCTGACGCGTGTACTATTTTTTTTTTAAGTCTTTGCACTTTCAGAGCCAATGGAGTTTAAGCCATAATGCTGAAGTCCTTGTTTTAAATGTTATCATGCTTCACTATAAAGAATATGTTTGTGACTGACTGCATCTCTCCTCAAGAGCTTTCACACTGCAAGCCATTTATTTTCAGCATCAGCACCAATAAATGTCCTTCACTGGGATGCTGCAGGAGAGTCTGTGAATAGTTTTGTTTCATTTTGGTTTTGTGACACTGACATTAAATTCAAATGCTGTGGTTTCTTGTGTGTGTGTGGCTTTTCTAAAATAAATGTCTGCGGCCACAGCTGGAGGTCAGGTTTAACATTGGTTTGTTGGGTCTTTCAACACTGCACGTAGTTGTTATGGCCCGCACAGCCACGCCATAACTGCAAGTGGTAATTTGAGCCCTTTGCAATACATGGGTGCATGCACTTTGCCTGTTTGTTTACAGCGATCTGAACAACATGTGTTGGAATATTTCACTTTTAGGCAGAGAAGAGGTGAAGTTTTTGTGTCTTTCTGTTTTTGTTTCAATTCAATTCAGTTTTATTTATTTAGTTTTCACAACAACAGTCACCTCAGTAGTATTAGAAAGAAAACCCAACAGTTGTGTGAATTCTGAATTTAACAAGGAGCCACTGAAGAGAAGACTGGAATGGATACACATGAGGTTGGGTTATTCAGCCTTGCACATGGATGAATCTGGTCTTTCTACTGTCACAGGCAAATGACTCTGAAAACAACATTTTCTACATCTATCGATACAACCGCTAACCAGCTGAGTGAAGTCCCACGTGTCACTGCTCAGCTGGCATGCACTACATTGATAAACATACTGCAGGTCCCACAGGTATGTCTGAAACCCGCATTTTAATCTGAATAGTGTCCAAAATCTCCACCTGAGGGCGCTCGTGCTCCAACCTGACCTCGGTGCAGCAACCGGATGGTGTGAGCCTGAAGAGAATGCAAATGATTCTCTTCAGCATAGTGGATATGTGCAAGTATATTTTCTTAAAGGGGCTATTTATTCGATGAATTCAGATTCGATGAAATAAATACTACAGTACAGCACGTGTCTATCTTCATTGTCAAACTGTATGTATATATGAAAAATAATATATATATATATATATATATATATATATATATATATATATATATTAACATATTATATAATGCTTATTAAAAAACCAAAGTTTCGCACGCCGCTTTACATATTTCCATATCTGTGCCACCACCAACACAAACGTACATGTGAGGTAATCGATAACAGCCAGACCCCCGTTCTCTCATGCCCGTGACGTCAGAGAGAGGGCGGCAGACAGGGGGAGGGTTGAGCGCCAGAGTATAAAGACTCCTGGCCGAGCTCTCCGGGATCCATTCTGAGTTTTGTACGACAGACCCATAACTGATGGAAGTACAGAGAAGCGCCGGGCACCAACAGACAAACGGCAGCACCATGTGTGAATCCACGCAGAGGTCCTGCGAGCCTCGCCGAAAGAAAATGGATGAGCGCAGTGCACCCTCAGAAATGGCCAGGATAATCACTGATCCTGCCACGGGGAAGTGCTACTGCCGTGGAAAAGTTTTGGGAAAGGTAGCGCAAGCATTCCATCGTTTTTTCTTTTCTTTAAAAACATTTTCCCCCCTTGGGATTTACCTAACCCGAAGACAAAACATGTTAACAGTGTTGTTCCTTTTTCCAGGGAGGATTTGCTAAATGTTATGAGATGACCGACCTCTCCACCAGCAAAGTTTACGCAGCCAAAATCATCCCTCATGCGCGCGTCTCCAAACCTCACCAACGGGAAAAGGTAAGCGGCGCAACTCCGCATCCTTGAGCGCAGTGATGTTCAACTTATATATATATATATATATATATATATATATTATAAGATATAATATATATATATATTATATATAATATATTAATATATATATATATATATATTTAAGACATGTTTTGTCTTTCGTTTCGCTAGATTGACAGAGAAATTGAGCTGCACAGATTACTACACCATAAACACATCGTGCATTTTTATCACCATTTTGAGGACAAGGAGAACATCTACATCCTGCTGGAGTACTGCAGCAGGAAAGTAAGTGCTGTTTTTTCCACATGGTAAATTTGAAATGACTTTACTGCCGCCGTGTTTCTAATGTGAACAAGACCTGCATTGCACCCAAAATCCAGCGAGGCACTACTTGGTATTCAGAATGTGCCCCACTCTATAAAGAGCTTTACTGTTTTAATTAACTGTCGAAAGTAGAAAACATTTTTATGTGTTACCACGGGGTTTGAAATTAAGGGAAGTAGTCAAGTGTGATAAGCTTTTCTGCACAGAGGACAGTGCTTATATCTTGGGAAAGCTCTATAATTATTCTCATCTCTATGCTTTGTTTTTTTCCGCAGTCATTAGCCCATATCCTGAAGGTCCGCAAAGTGCTTACTGAGCCAGAGGTGCGTTATTACCTGAGACAGATTGTGTCTGGACTGAAGTACCTGCATGAACAGGAAATCCTTCACAGAGACCTGAAACTTGGTTAGTGATATTACAGTGCTGTGCATAATCTTTCATTGTGTGCAGGGAGAACATCATTCCTTGTAACTAAACCTCAGTCTGTACATCTACATTTGCTGTGCTCATGCTTTGATCCTGGGTTGAATATCAAGTGTTCATCATCTCATTCCCTTTCTTCCCGACAGGTAACTTTTTTGTGAACGAGACGATGGAGCTGAAGGTCGGGGACTTTGGTCTGGCTGCCAAGTTGGAGCCAGCAGGAAACAGGAGGAAGACGATCTGCGGGACTCCCAACTACCTGTCCCCTGAGGTTCTCAACAAGCAGGGCCACGGCTGTGAATCAGACATCTGGGCCTTGGGCTGTGTAATGTGAGTCGGATATCTATAAATTTAGCATTAGGGAACTTCAAAAGGTTTAGTAATGAATTATTAAGAAACTATCTATATTGGCATCGGGTGTCATGGACAGGCATATTCTTGTCTTACTTCTTTCACTTAGAAATATGTGATATGTGTGATAAACTACCCATGCATCTCCTATGGCATAAATAGCTCCCTCACTCAATGCCCTCTATCCTCCTCCAGGTACACTATGCTGCTGGGCAGACCTCCTTTCGAAACCACCAACCTGAAGGAGACATACAGGTGTATTAGAGAAGCCCGCTACTCCCTCCCCTCGTCCCTGTCACCACAGGCTAAGCAGCTAATCGCCAGCCTGCTTGCCAAGATGCCAGAGGACAGGCCCAACCTGGACCACATTCTGAGGCATGACTTCTTCACACAGGTTAGACACGATTGCCAACTCTATGTCACTCTATGTTGAACACTGTAAATGTCACAGCGTAGGAGTTTAACAATTACACTCCCCCCCCCACTTCCCACCAGATGACCCACTTTGGTTCTTCACAGGGCTTCAGTCCAGAACGTCTGCCTGCTAGCTGCTGCCATTCAGCACCAGATTTCCACATCTCTAGCCCTGCCAAGAGTTTCTTCAAGAAAGCTGCTGCTGCGCTGTTTGGTGGGAAGAGGGACAAGGTCAAGTACTACGAGACTCTGAGTGAGTATTGCAACAGCATTTAAGTTCTCAGTATACTACTCATCACACTAATAGTTTGTATTTGAGTCTGAATTTATGCTCGAAGCACGGGCATCATTACACCTAGCGTTAACTGAGTGTGCATGACACATTTTATCACCCTTAGGCTGGTCATGGAGGTCATCCTCTCATTTTTCTGCACTCCTTTTGTCCTTCATAGATAAGTTAACCAAAGAGGAAGAGGAGATCTACAAGTTGCAGCATGACTTGGAGAGAACTGCCATCAGCCAACAGCACAGCAAAAAGGTGTCTGAGGTAAGAACTGAAGACAGGATATTTGCAAGAGTGTGGGTGATGTTGCAGATAGATTCATCATAACGGCAGTTAAATAGATCTGAGATATCACGTTGAGGAGAATCCAGTGAGTCATTCTGGAGCTGTGCCAAAACTTTATAACGAGCACATTTTTCCCGAAGTGCTAAAAGCACTTATTTTCAACCTTTAAGCCAACCTCTTTGCATCTGTGGGTGATCACTGAGTCATAGTAGGAAGGGATGATCTAAACTCACAGATTCTAAACCCTGTCGTCACTCATTCCCACCTCAGAATGGAAGTCTACTTCCGCCATCTGCCGAGAGCCCCGTTGCCCCGGCAACAGAGAGCCAGTCCCCGACGACGCAAGACACCATCCGTCTGATCGTCAGGGGGAGTCTGGGAAGCTGCAGCAGCAGTAGTGAATGTAAGTTCACCCACACGTTTAACAGAGCGCAGACAGACTGGAATTATTTTTTGATGTATTATGGAAAAGAAATCAGTGTTACAGAGAGCTGCTGCCATAGCTAGAGTGTTTAGTACCATTGTCATGTCAAGCTGACTGAGCACCTGTTATTGCTCCAAAAGGCCTGGAAGACAGCACGACAGGGAGTGTGGCTGAGACTGTTGCAAGTGTGCTGAGGGGGTGTCTGGAGAGTATGCCTAAAGGTGAGTGAACTAACAAAGCCTTGACCTCTACATGCATGCCTTAGCTGCAATTAATAGTGCACTTAAGCTCACTGTTTCATTATACCTTTAACTGTATTCTAACCCTCCTCCTCTTTCTGTTCACCCTGCAGCCAGTGACATTCCTCAGGGCTCAACCAGCTGCAGTCTTCAATGGGTGACTAAATGGGTGGATTACTCCAACAAGTACGGTTTTGGATACCAGTTATCTGATCACACCGTGGGAGTTCTCTTCAACAATGGCACTCACATGAGCCTCCTACCCGACCGAAAGTATGTATTCTTTCTCAACGCCCTCCCTTAAATTTAAAAGTTATTAGTCACAACATTAACTTGTCTAAGCATGCTGCGGTTATCGTGTCAAATCTTTCAAAAATGTCATCTAACCGAATCTGACCTTTTTTGTTTTATTTTGGGTTTCAGGACCATCCATTACTACGCAGAGCTAGGCCAGCGCTCTGTCTTTCCCACCTGTGAGGTTCCTGAACACTTTGTCGGGCAGGTCACTGTGCTTAAGTACTTCTCCCATTACATGGAGGAAAACCTCATGGATGTAAGTAAAAAATCGTTATTCCTCCACTCCTTTATCCATTTTTTAAAAAATTGTTATGTTGCTGTTATGTTCCTTTTGTATTTCCACACCCTGTAGCCTTAGAGACGTTGCAGCTTGTCTAAACCTGATGTGCTACTCTTTTGCTTTCTCAGGGCGGGGACCTTGGCACTATAACAGACTCACACATGCCCAGACTTTACCTGCTGCAGTGGCTCAAGTCAGACCGCGCCCTCATGATGCTGTTTAATGACGGCACTTTCCAGGTAAACACACATTATCACAGGAGCATAGCTGCTGCTGGGCATGCTCAGTAGAAGCGTAGTTACAAGTGCGATGCATGGCATCAAGGAGCTTTAAACCACAAATCAAATAGACAAAAAGATTGTTCTCCAAACTTATCAGTTTTCTTGTTTGTTTTTATCTTTAAAGGTTAACTTTTACCACGATCACACCAAGATCATCCTGTGTTGCCAGAGGGACGAGTACATGCTGACATACATTAACGAAGACCGCGTCTCCAAAACCTTCAAACTCAGCTCCCTGTTGAAGTCTGGCTGCCCTACTGACCTGCGGGAGCGCATGGTGTATTCCCTCAACATGCTTCTGCAGAGATGCAGCTAAACCCACACAGAGCGTGTGCTGGACAGACGAGCAAACCTACCGAACGTGTTACTGCGGTGGAATGAGGATGCCGAAAGAATCCGTGGAAGATGAGTGGATTTCAAGAATGGATTTGAGCAGAGTAAATGAATCCAGCTGTGCGGTGTCATAATCACTCGGGCACCAGTGCGAGGTGTGGAAAAAAATAAAAAAGCAAGAGACTGAAAGACTGAGAAACTGAAATGTAGCACAATAACTGTGGATGGAAAAGGGCTGACTTGTATGTGGATTGTTGGAAGGAGAG